CCACCACCACCGCGCTACCCCACCAACACCACCACCACGCTACACCGCGTCACACCAGATCACACGCGCGAACACACAAACACGCACGCACGCACGCACGCACGCACGCACGCACGCACGCACGCACGCACGCACGCACGCACGCACGCACGCACGCACGCACGCACGCACGCACTCACGCACGCACACACACACACACACACACACACACACACACACACACACACACACACACACACACACACACACACACGCACACACACACACAGACACACACACACCACCACCGCCACCACCACCACCACCGCCATCACGCACGTACGCACCTGGCCCACCACCAAACCACCAAGACGCCACACCACGTCACACCACAGCACACGCGCACACACGCACACACACGCACACACACGCACACACACACACACACACACACACATACACACCACCACCACCACAACCACAACCACGCACACACGCACGCACGCACGCGCACCACCACCCACTACGCACACGCGCGCGGAGCCACAGGTCCGCTACGACACGCGTCCGCGGATAGAGAAAATCAGCGCCATGGTAAGGGATTGGAGGGAGGGGTAGGATGTCAGATGTTGACGCGAGCGCACCTAACTTGACTTGCCCTCTCGACCCCACTCCCCCTCTCCCCCTCCCCCTCTTCCCCCTCCCCTCACCCTCCCCCCCCCTCCCCCTCCCCTCCCCCTCTCCCTCCCCCTCCTGAGCCCTGCCCCTGACCCTGCCCTGCCCCCCTGCCTGCCCATGCCCCCGCCCTTCCACTCCGCCTCCCCTCCCCTTCCCTCCCCCTCCCCCTCCCCCTCCCCCCCCCCTCCCCCTCCGCCTCCCTCCTCCTCCTCCTCCTCCTCCTCCTCCTCCTCCTCCTGCACTCAGGGGGCTGCCCTGAGCGGTGGTCCACTCAATCTGCCACCTGTGCACCACAGCCGGTCGCCCTTCGGAGACCGGCCTCCGGCAATACAGATTAATTGAACCGGCACACAACAGGGCAGGCCAGGGGCAGCATGCAAAGGCGGCCAGGCGGGAGGAATGGAAGAGGCGGGGGAGGGGAGGGACGAGGCGGGGGGCGGGGGGGGCGGATGTCGGAGCGTCGTGGACGTCGTGGACGCACCAACCATCGGAGGTGGGTGTCGTGGTGGTTGCCGCTGCTGTGGCGGTCGTGGTGGTCGTGATGGTTGCCGTGGTTGTGGTGGTCGTGGTGGTTGTCGTGCTGGTCGCGGTGGTAGCTGTGGCGGTCGAGCTGGTCGGCAGGGCGGCGGTGGTCGTGGTAGTCGTGGTGGCCGAGGTGGTCGTGGTGGTCTTTGTGGTGGTCGCGCCTCACTGCCGTATGGCGCTCAGCACCATCTCAGCGCTGCCGCGCTGAAGCTGACGAGAGAGCTGCCGCCATAGCCCGCCCAGCACCTCGCCCCGGGCCGCCTCATCGACGCACCGTACGCTTGGATGAGTTCCTCGGCTTCGTCCGATGGGCGCCCCAACGTCTCGAAAACGAGGGGGGCGAGAGCACCCCCGCTCAGGGGATGCAGGTTCCGCTTTTCCCGCGCCGCGGCCGCCGCAGCAACGCCACCGTTGTTGGAGCACGCTTGCCTGCGAGGGGCATAGGTCGAGTATTCGCAGGTAGTGATCCAGTCAACGCAGACGTCGCGACCTGTGGTGGGGTCGCGGGTAGCGATGTCCAGCTTGGCCGCCTCGAGCACCCCGGTGCGGGGATTGATGCGGTCCCAGGCTGGGACGAACTTCTCGGCGGGCGCGGCGTAACCGGTAAGGCAGGCGTGCTGCTTCGCATGCCAATCTCGCATTTTGTCGTGCCGGGCTGTGCCACACTGGCCCACCTCGCAGCACCTCGCGTGTCATCCCCGCCGGTCCAGGGGCACGCCGCAAACTGTACCGTCGGCGCGCCGGTGTTGCCATACGGCGCCTTGTGGGCAGACATCGCATCGGAGTTGTAGCTTCAAGGCGGTCAGGAAGTGCTTGTCTGACATGGCCGGGTCGTCTTCTTCGGCGGGCAGAACATAACCGCCGACCCCGGTGCCTCCCGCCCCACGAAACGCCAGGCGGTCGTCTTTCTCGAGCGCCCCGAGCAGGCGGGCCCCAGTGGCCGTCGAGCGCGCCTTGCCCCACGTGCCCTGGAGCTTGGCAGCAGGCTCCTGGAAGCAGCCCAGCCAGTCGAACTCGCCGCTCATGGCCCCCTGGGCCCGGAGGTCTGCATCAGCTTCCAGCAAGGCCTGGTGTGTCAAAGGGCATTGCGCCCGAAAGTCTTCCCAGCTCGGGAATCTTGCGGCGCGAACCACATCCTTCAGGGTCAGAGCCCAGCTCGCCGCGTACGCCGCGGACGAGGTGGCCAGGGCTGAGGGCAGGGAGATGCCGCCGTCCTTCAGACGCATGGTAGCCTGCGCGCGCCGCTTGGGGCCCAGGGCGGGCCCGATGAGCTCTTCCAGGTAACCGAAGATCACGCCGTCGAACTGGTCCACCCAGGGGAGGTCACGATTGGCACGCAAGTGGCCTCATCCTCCTCCTCCTCCTCCTCTTCATCCTCCTTCTCCTCTTCCTCTTCCCCTTTCTCCTCCTCCTCCTCCTCCTCCTCCTCCTCCTCCTCCTCCTCTTCCGCCTCCGCCTCCGCCTCGGCCTCGGCCTCCGCCTCCGCCGCCGCCTCCGCCTCCGCTTCCGCCTCCGCCTCCTCCTCCTCCTCCTCCTCCTCCTCCTCCTCTTCATCCTTCTCCTCCTCCTACTCCTCCTTCTTCACCTCCTCCTCCTCCTCCTTTTCCTCCTCCTCCCTCCTCTCCCTCCCCGTCCTCATCCTCCTCTTCCTCTTCCTCCTCCTCCTCCGCCTCCTCCCGCCGCCTCCTCCTCCTCCGCCTCCGCCTCCGCCTCCGCCTCCGCGTCCGCGTCCGCCTCCGCCTCCGCGTCCGCTTCCGCCTCCGCCTCCGCTTCCGCCTCCGCCTCCTCCGCCTCCTCCCCTTCCTCCTCCCCCTCCTCCTCCTTCTCCTCCGCCTCCGCCTCCGCCTCCGCCTTCTCCGCCTCATCTGCCTCATCCTCCTGCTCCTGCTCCTGCTCCTGCTCCTGCTCCTGCTGCTCCTGCTGCTCCTGCTGCTCCTGCTGCTCCTGCTGCTCCTCCTCCTCCTCCGCCTCTCCTCCTCCTCCTCCTCCTCCTCCTCCTCTCCGTCCCTCATTTCCTCCCGTCCATCCCTCCCTCCCTCCTCCGCTCCCTTCCCTCCCCTCCCTCCCTCCCTCCCCTCCCCTCCCTCCTCCCTCCCAGCCCTCCCTACTCCCCATCCCTCCCTCCTCTCATCCCTCCTTCCCTCCCTCCCTGCCCCCCCCTTTCGCCCTCCTTCCCCTCCCTCCCCCACCTCGCTCCCTCCGTCCCTCCCTCCCCCCTCCCTCCCTCCCACCCTTACCCTCCCACCCTTACCCTCTCCTCCCCCTCCCCCTCCCCCCCCCTCTACAATTACACAATATGAATACTACTCTCCCACTTCCCCTGATGGCGTCCGGAAGATGTTCGGCACCCCCCCGCGTACTGTTTTTTTACACACAGGATTCCCCGGAGTTGGGTTTTCGCTTGTGTTTTTTTCTAAAATGCTGCTCTCGCTGAGGCGCTGGCCTAATTTTCGGGCTCCCGCTCCTTCCGAATCGTGTTCCCGCTGCAGCGCTGGCCTCATTTCCGCGCTCCCGCTCGTTCCGAATCGTGCTCCCGCTGCAGCGCTGCCCAATTTCTGCGCCTCTCGTTGTTCCAAAACGTGCTCCCGCTGCAGCGCCGACGTTTTCGATCCTTTTTAAGAAGCCCCAAATCTAGAAAATGATCCCCGGCAAAAACATTGGAGGTGATTACACATCCGGTGTCCATTCGTTGATTTTTGGGGCCGCAGAAAGCCCCCCCCCCTTTTGGGCGGCGTCCTTTTCCGCACAGGATTCCCGGGAGTTTGGTTTTCATCATCGTCGTCGTCGTCGTCGTCGCCGCCGTCGTCGTCGTCGTCGTGGTTGTCGTCGTCGTCGTCGTCTTCGTCGTCGTCGTCTTCGTTTTCATCGCGCCGTCGTCCTCCTCCTTTCCCTCTTAGGTAACAGGGTCAGATGCGAAGCCCGATTCGGTGAGAGGACAATGAAGTAGCTCAATGGGAAGGGATGGAGGGAGGGGTAGGATGTCAGATGTTGACGCGAGCGCACCTAGCTTGCCCCCTCCCTCCTCCCCCCTCTCCCCCTCCTCCTCCTCCTCCTCCTCTCCTCCTCCTCCTCCTCCTCATCCTCCTTCCTGCTCCCCGCTCCTCCTCCTCCTGCCTCCTCTCAGTCCTCCTCCTCCCCTCCACTTGCTTCCTGCTCCTAGCTCCTGCACGCTGCTCCTGCTCCTGCCCTGCTCCTGCTCCTGCTCCTGCTCCTGCTCCTGCTCCTGCTCCTGCTCCTGCTCCTGCTCCTGCTCCTGCTCCAGCTCTGCTCCTGCTCTGCTCGCTCCTTCCTGCTCCTGCTCCTCTCCTGCTCCTGCTCCTGCTCCTGCTCCTGCTCCGCCTCCTCCTCCTCCTCCTCCTCCTCCTCCTCCTCCCCCCCTCCCCCTCCCCCTCCCCTCCCCTTCCCCCATCCGCCTCCTCCTCCTCCTCCTCCTCCTCCTCCTCCTCGCTCCTCCTGCTCTCCTCCTCCTCCTCCTCTCCTCCTCCTCCTCCTCCTCCTCCTCCTCCTCCTCCCCCTCCTCCTCCCCTCCCCCCTTCTCCTCCTCCTCCTCCTCCTCCTTCCTCCTCTCCTCCTCCTCCTCCTCTCCTCCTCCTACTCCTTCCTCCTCCCCCTCCTCCTCCTCCTCCCTCCTCCTCCTCCTCCTCCTCCTCCTCCTCCTCCTCCTCCTCCTCCTCTCACTCTTCCCAATTGCCTCCCCCATCCTCCTTCCCCTCTCCTCCTTGCCTCCTTGCCTCCTTGCCTCCTTGCCTCCTCCTCGTCCTCCTCCCCCCTACCCCCTCTGCCTCCACCTCCCTCCCAACCTCCCCCTCTGGTAGGGCCTCCGCCACGGCGCGGTCCATCCGAGCGCTCTCGTACTCCATGAGGTACCTGCGGCGCTGGCGCGCGACGATGCGGCAGGGGCGCCCTCCACCGCTGCCGCCGACCGCGGGAAAGACGATATAGGAGGGGTGCTGCGAACAGTCGCAACCTGTGGCGGGTCAAGATCGCGAGCCCCCTGGCCGAAAGCCCACTGCTCCGTCAAAGTCCCCAAACGAACGAATAACGCTTTAAGAAGAAAACCAACAAATGAAGAACACAATGGAACCCGTCTAACACCAGGATTGGTGTTTAACCTCGCGCCAACTGTAGGGGAAGGATGACAAACCGGAGGAGAGGACGGGGACGAGGGAGATGACAAGGAGGAGGAAGAGGGGAAGACGATGAGAGGGCGAGGATGAGGAAAGAAAATAATGAAGATTGTGCCGACAAAATTAGAGTAAGTACGTGCCCTTGGGCAATCTGACTGTTTCCGCCTGCGACATGACTGGTCAGGCGGCTTGAGATGTCGTGGTCACCTATGTCCTCAACCCTTCCTCTCCCACATCCCCTCTCTCTCCGTTCTCCTTCCACCTCGTCCTCATAGTCCCGTCATGATCGTCGTCGTTGAACCAGTTCTCGTCCTCGTCACCGGTGTAAGTCATCCTCGTCCTCGTCGTCGCCGCCTTCACCCTCCTCGTCGTCAGCGCCATCTTCGTCGCCGACGTCATCGTTCTCATCGTTATCGACGTTGCCGCCCTCATCGTCATCGCTCTCGTCATCGCCGCCCACGTCCTCGTCCCCGTCGTCGCTGCCGTCGTAGCCATCGTCTTCGTCGTCGCAGCCGTCGTTGTCATCGTCGGCGTGGCCGCTGTCGTCCTCGTCGTGGCCGTCCCCACGCCGTCGCCGCCCTCGCCCTCGTCGTCTCGACGTCGTTGTCCTCTTCCTCTTCCTCCTCGCGTCGCAAAGCTGGGGTGCGTCCCGGCCAACCTTTCGAGCTGCCTCTAGCCGTGGCGATGAGAACCTCCAGTCTCCGAAAGGCGCCGCCGCCGCCGTCGCCGCCGTCAGCGTCGTGGACGTCGCTGTCGTCGCCGTCGTCGCCATTTGGGCTCGTCGTCGGTCGTCGTCGTCAGCGTCGCCGCCGCCGTCGTCGGCGTCGTCGGGGTCGTGGCCGTCGGCAACGTCTGCGGCGCCGTGGCTCTGCGCGCCGGGGAGGGGCACGCGCAAACAACCGCCGCGCCGCGCGACATGCCCTCGGCCGCGGCGCTCGCGATGGGGGCGGGGGAGCGGAGCCCTCCCAGATGGGGCGTCCTTTTCCCGCTGAGCCTTCTGGGTAGGACGTGCGCGTGCGTGCTACGAATCATGAATCTGGGTATGAAGGAGTCTTCGCGTGAAGGACACTGTTGCACGCGAGCTGGAAACTGCATGAACTTGAATACGTAGAGGCGGGTCTGAAAGTACGTGCATGTGAGAGTACAAGATTCTGGCCGACAATATGGCCGCGAGGGGGACCGTGATATGCCCCTTGGCGGACACCACAGAGGTGCCCAAATGACATGCCTGCTACAATGGGATGACCATGGGGCTCTGGTCGACTGGGCCCAAACAGGCGTGCCACCTGGGACGTTCTCAAGGGACCATGACATAACCTCCTGGGGGTTCCCCCCCTGGGGCGTCCAAATTCTATGCCTGTTGCGTTGTGATAATCATGGGGCTCCTGGGTGGGATTCGTCCAATGGGCCGCAAACATTCCGCTGACGGAGACGTCCCCTCAATGTGGACTCGCCGGGCCCCTTTTTTCCACTCTGCCAGCTGTAGCTTAGAGCGCGCATAAGCACTGCCTGCTGCATCGCGGTGTTCATTGGGTTCTGTAGCAAAGTTTCCTCTACTGTGCCAAAACACGGTTTCCCCGAGACGTTCCCGCAATCTGAGAGCGAGCGGGCCTGCGATCGAACCCCTGGCGGCGTCCCCTTGGAGGTGCCCAAAGGCTAAGCCTGCTACATCGCAATGGTCATGGGGCTTGCAAAAGAATTTCGTCTACTAGGCCACAACAAGCGTTTCACCAAACACGTCCGCAAATTCTGTGCACGAGTGGACCCGTGATATACCCCTTGTGCCACGCCTGCTACATCGCGACAATCACTGGGCTCTGGGCTGAAACAGCCACTTCGCGCGAGACGTCCCCACTATTTGCGCGCAAACAAGACTGCGATACATCCTCTTACAGCTCCCTGCTGAGGTGCCCTAAGGCCAAGCCTACTACTTCACGGTGATGATGGGGCCGCGTACACGGGGTCTGTAAACAGAGCCAACACACGCATCTTGCCTGAGACATCCTCACAATCTGGACACGCACCAGTCGTGACATACGCCGTGCCGGCTCCCGCGGCGGGAGCTCAAAATGCAATGCCGACTACGCCTCGATGAGCATGGGGCTCCCCCTGGTCGGCACCCCTTTGGGCTTCCGAGTGAGCGCATCTGCGTACGAGCGGGCATAACTGCGAGCTGAGTCTGAGCCTCAGTTAGTCTGATAAGTGCGAGTGAATCTGAGTATGAGCGGTCTGGGCAAGACGTGCGTAGGATGAGTCTAGGTGTGAGTGAAACCGAGTGTGAGTGCATCTGAGTATGACTAGCTGAGAGCGCGTGAGTCTACATAGGAGTGAATCTGGGTCTGAATGAGTCCGTGCGCAAGCGGGTCCGAATGTGAGCGAATGTGTGTGACTATGTCTGAATTCGAATGCTTTTGGATACGGTTGATGTGAGTGTGAATATGGATCTGACTGTGCGTGGGCCTGGGTATGAGTGAATATCCGCGCGAATAAATCTGACTGTGAATGTGCCTGGGTGTGCGTGAGAATCTAAATGTGGGTGAGTTCGGGTGTGAGATAACTAGCCGGCCGCTCTGCGGTCGATCGGGAGTTTCTGTATATAGAAGAAGGTGCGTGCGCCTGTTGGCGAGGGCGAGGATGAGGTTCCTCCTCCTCCTCCTCCTCCTCCTCCTCCTCCATCCTTCTCTTGCCTCCGTCTGTCCTCCTCCACCCCACAGCTCCATCATCTTCTCCTCCTCCTCCTCCTCCTCCTCCTCCTCCTCCTCCTCCTCATTCCTCCTCTGGGCACCTCCCCCGGGGCGCGGATCCACCGGATCTGTCCGGATCTGTCCGGAAACGGTGCCAGAGGCCGCTCTGGGCTCCTCTGGGCACCTCCCCCGGGGCCGGTTTTGTGAGGATGTCTCAAGCGAGGGCGCCGGTTTGGGATTCGTCACCGGATCCAGCGGATCTGTCCGGAAACGGTGCCGGAGGCCGCTCTGGGCTCCTCTGGGCACCTCCCCCGGGGCCGGTTTTGTGAGGATGTCTCAAGCGAGGGCGCCGGTTTGGGATTCGTCACCGGATCCAGCGGATCCAGCGGATCCACCGGATCTGTCCGGAAACGGTGCCGGAGGCCGCTCTGGGCTCCTCTGGGCACCTCCCCCGGGGCCGGTTTTGTGAGGATGTCTCAAGCGAGGGCGCCGGTTTGGGATTCGTCGGCGGATCCACCGGATCCACCGGATCTCTGTCCGGAAACGGTGCCGGAGGCCGCTCTGGGCTCCTCTGGGCACCTCCCCCGGGGCCGGTTTTGTGAGGATGTCTCAAGCGAGGGCGCCGGTTTGGGATTCGTCACCGGATCCAGCGGATCCAGCGGATCCACCGGATCTGTCCGGAAACGGTGCCGGAGGCCGCTCTGGGTTCCTCTGGGCACCTCCCCCGGGGCCGGTTTTGTGAGGATGTCTCAAGCGAGGGCGCCGGTTTGGGATTCGTCGGCGGATCCACTGGATCCACCGGATCTGTCCGAAAACGGTGCCGGAGGCCGCTCTGGGCTCCTCTGGGCACCTCCCCCGGGGCCGGTTTGGTGAGGATGTCTCAAGCGAGGGCGCCGGTTTGGGATTCGTCACCGGATCCAGCGGATCCACCGGATCTGTCCGGAAACGGTGCCGGAGGCCGCTCTGGGCTCCTCTGGGCACCTCCCCCGGGGCCGGTTTTGTGAGGATGTCTCCAGCGAGGGCGCCGGTTTGGGATTCGTCGGCGGATCCACCGGATCCACCGGATCTGTCCGGAAACGGTGCCGGAGGCCGCTCTGGGCTCCTCTGGGCACCTCCCCCGGGGCCGGTTTTGTGAGGATGTCTCAAGCGAGGGCGCCGGTTTGGGATTCGTCACCGGATCCACCGGATCTGTCCGGAAACGGTGCCGGAGGCCGCTCTGGGCTCCTCTGGGCACCTCCCCCGGGGCCGGTTTTGTGAGGATGTCTCAAGCGAGGGCGCCGGTTTGGGATTCGTCGGCGGATCCACCGGATCCACCGGATCTGTCCGGAAACGGTGCCGGAGGCCGCTCTGGGCTCCTCTGGGCACCTCCCCCGGGGCCGGTTTTGTGAGGATGTCTCAAGCGAGGGCGCCGGTTTGGGATTCGTCACCGGATCCACTCCGCGATCCAGGGATCTGTCCGGAAACGGTGCCGGAGGCCGCTCTGGGCTCCTCTGGGCACCTCCCCCGGGGCCGGTTTTGTGAGGATGTCTCAAGCGAGGGCGCCGGTTTGGGATTCGTCGGCTGTCCGGAAACGGTGCCGGAGGCCGCTCGGGCTCTCTGGGCACTCCCCCGGGGCCGGTTTTGTGAGGATGTTCAAACGAGGGGCCGGTTTGGGATTCTGATCCACCGGATCTGTCGGAAACGGTGCCGGAGGCCGCTCTGGGCTCCTCTGGGCACCTCCCCCGGGGCCGGTTTTGTGAGGATGTCTCAAGCGAGGGCGCCGGTTTGGGATTCGTCGGCGGATCCACCGGATCTGTCCGGAAACGGTGCCGGAGGCCGCTCTGGGCTCCTCTGGGCACCTCCCCCGGGGCCGGTTTTGTGAGGATGTCTCAAGCGAGGGCGCCGGTTTGGGATTCGTCGGCGGATCCACCGGATCCACCGGATCTGTCCGGAAACGGTGCCGGAGGCCGCTCTGGGCTCCTCTGGGCACCTCCCCCGGGGCCGGTTTTGTGAGGATGTCTCAAGCGAGGGCGCCGGTTTGGGATTCGTCGGCGGATCCACCGGATCCACCGGATCTGTCCGGAAACGGTGCGGAGGCCGCTCTGGGCTCCTCTGGGCACCTCCCCCGGGGCCGGTTTTGTGAAAGCGAGGGCGCCGGTTTGGGATTCGTCGGCGGATCCAGCGGATCTGTCCGGAAACGGTGCCGGAGGCCGCTCTGGGCTCCTCTGGGCACCTCCCCCGGGGCCGGTTTTGTGAGGATGTCTCAAGCGAGGGCGCCGGTTTGGGATTCGTCACCGGATCCAGCGGATCCAGCGGATCCACCGGATCTGTCCGGAAACGGTGCCGGAGGCCGCTCTGGGCTCCTCTGGGCACCTCCCCCGGGGCCGGTTTTGTGAGGATGTCTCAAGCGAGGGCGCCGGTTTGGGATTCGTCGGCGGATCCACCGGATCTGTCCGGAAACGGTGCCGGAGGCCGCTCTGGGCTCCTCTGGGCACCTCCCCCGGGGCCGGTTTTGTGAGGATGTCTCAAGCGGATTCGTCGCGGATCCACCGGATCTGTCCGGAAACGGTGCCGGAGGCCGCTCTGGGCTCCTCTGGGCACCTCCCCCGGGGCCGGTTTTGTGAGGATGTCTCAAGCGAGGGCGCCGGTTTGGGATTCGTCACCGGATCCAGCGGATCCAGCGGATCCACCGGATCTGTCCGGAAACGGTGCCGGAGGCCGCTCTGGGCTCCTCTGGGCACCTCCCCCGGGGCCGGTTTTGTGAGGATGTCTCAAGCGAGGGCGCCGGTTTGGGATTCGTCACCGGATCCACCGGATCCAGCGGATCTGTCCGGAAACGGTGCCGGAGGCCGCTCTGGGCTCCTCTGGGCACCTCCCCCGGGGCCGGTTTTGTGAGGATGTCTCAAGCGAGGGCGCCGGTTTGGGATTCGTCGGCGGATCCACCGGATCCACCGGATCCACCGGATCCACCGGATCTGTCCGGAAACGGTGCCGGAGGCCGCTCTGGGCCCCTGTGCTCCCCGCGCCGGGGGTGAGGATGACGGTAGTTCCACAGAAACTCCCTCAAATAATATGTACGTAAGTGAGCCTGAGAGCGAGTGACTCGAGTGTGAGCGAATCTGCTTGTGAGTGGGTTTGAGCATGAATGGTCTGAGCGTGAGTGCGTCTGAATAGATATGATTTGAATGTGAATGACTCTGAACCTGAATCCGCCACCGTGCCTGCACTGCACTGACTGGGCGTGTTAGAATGCTACCCTGGTCCCTCGGGACGTGCTTTTTAAATTGCTCTAGGGCCGACCATGAAACCTGCCCCCTCTCCCCCCTGAAAAACTGCCCCCCCTGAATTTGCTCCCCCGCGCTCTTTTCGGCCTCCAGACGGTCAAGATGGCTTCCAAGATGGCTTCCCAGACAGCCAAGACGACGACGCAAAGACTCAAAATGGCCCAAAGCAGCTCAAGAGCCTCTCAAAAAAGCCTCAGGACGACTCAAGATAGCCCTAGAGGGCCTCAAGACGGCCCAAGAGGTTCCCAAGACGGCCCTAGGGACCTCCAGGAGGCCTGCCTGGAGAGCTCGAGGGGCCCAACACCATTGCTTGTCCTTCGGGGTTTGAACGATGTTGAGGTTCTCGCATGTTCGGGTGCCCGACCACCCACAACGGCCCAAGAGGCTTCCAAGATGCCTCAAAAAACTCTAAGACAGCCCAAGGGGGCCCTCAACAGGGCCCCAAACGAGGACCCAAACATCCCCCAAGGGGTACCCAAAGAGGACCCCAAGACGGCCTTGAAGCGCTCCACGAGAACACCAAGACGGCCCAGAGATGCCCATTTGGCTGTCTCGGGCGGTCTGACACCCAAGCATACCAGAACCTCCAGCTCCTTCAAACACCGCCGGGTAGTCCATGGTGTTGGCCTCCTCAAGCTCTCCTGGAGGGCTCTTGGGGACCTCTTGGGCCGTCTTGGGGGCCTGTTGATCTGTCTTGAGGCCTTCTTGGGGGCCCCATGGCCTCCATCACAGCTTTCAAGGCAGTCAAGATGACGCCAAGATGGCCCACGATGGCTCAAGACGGCTCAAGGGGCTCCCAAGGCAGTTCCGAGACAGATCAAGAGGCCCCCAAGAAGGCCCAAGAGGTCTACAATAGGCCCTCCTGGGGAGCGCAGGAAGGCCAATACCATTGATTGTCCTTCGGTTGTTGAAAGAGTTTGAGGTTCTTACCAGTTCGGGTTGCCGACCGCCCAAAGCGGTCCAAGAAGCCTCCAAGAGGCCTCCCAGATGGCTCCAACGATCGCCCAAGTGGCGCCGAAGAAAGCCTCAAGAGGGCACCAACGCTGCCTAGAGAGGCCCCCAAGGCGGCCACCATAGGCGCCAGACGGACCAATAGTCCCCAAAGTCGGCCCAAGAGGCCCCGAGAGCCCCCCAAGATGTCCCCGAGAAGCTTTCGGGAAGCTCCCCGAATGCCCCCAGGAAGCCCCAAGAAGGCTCCAGGAAGCCTCCTCCTCCTCATTGTCTCCCTCTCCTCCTCCTCCTCCTCCTCTCTCCTCCTCCTCCTCCTCCTCATTGTCTCCCTCTCCTTCTCCTCCTCCTCCTCCTCCTCCTCCTCCTCCTCCTCCTCCTCCTCCTCATTGTCTCCCTCTCCTTCTCCTCCTCCTCCTCCTCCTCCTCCTCCTCCTCGTCATCCTCCTTCTCCTCCTTCCTACCGCGCGGGCGAAGACGAGGTCGGGACTGCTTGTGTGGACTGCTTGTCGGATTTGTGATGTTCCTGCATTCAACCTCCTTCCTGCTGTGCTGTTGCGCAAACACGGTGGCAGGGTTTGCCGCAAGAAGCTGGACAGGTCTGACCATGAGTGAGTCCGAGTGCAAGTAAGCCTGAGTTACAGTCTGCGTATGGGAAAATGAATGGAACTGAATCTGAATATGAGTGCATATAGGGCCTGGGTATGAGCGAATACCCACCCGTGCGAGTGAGTCTGAATGTGAATGCGTCTGGGTGTGGGAGACTCTGACTGTGGGTAAGTTCAGGTGTGAGATAATCTGCACGTGAGTGGGCCTGAGCGTGAGTGATCGGAGTGTGAGTGAATGTGAATGTGAGTGGGTCTAGGCATGAACAGTCTGAAGATGAGTGAGGCTGAATTGAAGTGATCCGAGCGTGAGTGAATCTAAACGCGAATAGGATTGAGCATGACATGAGGACAAGTGAGTCTGAGTGTGAGTGTTTGGGCGAATCGAACACCCTCAGTGAACCCATCCCAGCCCGAATCGATGAGTGACAATGGTATGGCTCGGATTTCGTCCCTGCCCTTTCCTCTCGCACTCGAGCCCTGTTCCTCCTCCTCCTCCTCCTCCTCCTTCTCCTCTGGAGCTCTCTGGGGGTATCCTGAGGATTCCAGAGGCCCTCGAAACCCGCGGATATGCCCATTCTAGATGCCGGCTCCTGGGACGTCTTCGACAGAATGAATCGGGCGGGCTCTCGCGGATTACAAACCAAATTGATCAACATTGAACCAACAATCTCGGGGATTACAATGCAATTGAACACAATTCATCAAAATAACTGTCCATAACGAACCGAATTAGAACACGTCTTAGCATCAGGATGGATGAACTCCAAAACATATACCTGGGCCGACTCTGAATTCAACGTCCCAGAAATTGCAACCTTGTCCCCCGAAGTCCCTATAGAGGTACATATCCAGGAAGCCGTGGGGGAATCTCTTCCACAGCAGAAGCCTTGGAGCCTCTAGAGGCCCAAGAAGGCCAGACAGCCTGGATCCTCTGAGCCGCAGCTCTCGACCTCTCACACGCCGACGTTTCATCCCAAGTCATTTCGTGAAGGCCCAGGGGCCCTCAAACGGACCGCCAGAGGTCGACACCGAGGAAACCGCACCAGCGCCCAGCAATACAGCGATGCAGGGCCAGGTGCGCGGACGAGGGGAGGCCAAGAATCGGGGGGGGGTCAACGCACCTTGGTCCGAGGCGTGTGTGGACGAGGCGGGCCAGGGGATGCACTGCAAGAGGGAGAGAGAGAGAGAGAGTGGGCTGTCCACGGCGACAACAACCGAGGACAGCGCGAGCCGGCAACGAATGCGAGACTGACCAAGACCGAATGTACCAGGAACGGTCGAGAGGGACCCAGCGACGCGGCAAGGACGCAGCAGCCGAACGAGCCGAACCGACCGAAAGTAAGTGATTGCGACGCAGCCAAATAGACCGAACCGACCGAACCGCGGACACCTCTCCCACATCCCTGACTGATCCTCAGCCCCCTCTTCTACGCCCCCGAAAGAAGATCAGGGCCCCTGACCTTCTGAAAGGGGATATGGCGACTCCAATCCCAGGCTTGGTGAGGTGAGGTTCCGACTGGAGCAACAATTCAGGGCCCAAACTCGATGATATACGTTAAGGGGGGCGTCCATCCTGGATGGGGTGCGTCCGAATACGCCCATGTGCGTGTATCCCCGACTTTCGCATCTGTTCTGAGGGCCCTTATCTTCAGGGGGGAGCTCAGATATTTGGTGGCGACAAACTGCCGTAGACAGTCAGATGTGAACTTACTGAACCTGTGGGTCAGATTTCTGAAACGCCGGCTGGGGGTCTTGATTCGAAGGATGCCTGCAGCCAAATGATTCCCAGAGGGGGGGTCCGTTAACCAAGCGTATGTTGGACCCGCAGGGATGGGTTTCGCAAGTGAACGACGAGACGAAACGGGCCTTACGCGAGAAAACATAGCGGCCTTACACCGCGGCTTTCGCGGGCCGCCAGCGTGGCACACCGCGCGGCGAGGAGGGGCGCTTCCGCGCGACCTTACGCGGGCAGCTTACGCGCGACCTTACGCGGGCAGACGACCCCGTCTTCTACGCCGCCCAAGTGGCCGCAGACGCCCCGACTTCTCGGCGTGCGGCGCCATTCGACTAGCGGCGCCCGAGGGTGCAGGCCGAGCTTTCCTGGCGCTGCACCCCCCCACCCGGGGCCGGCGCGCGCCTGTACGCAATGCACCAGCACGGACTCGCTTCGGCCGCTGCCCTGACAGGG